GATGTCTGGTCACCTTATTCTTGGGTGATCTGATCCTGCTGAAGCTTTCTTAATGGCACACCTACTTTCTCCACTTTGGCAATGAAGCAAATGGAACAGTCTCTTTTTAATTTTGGCTGAAGTTGTTCTCCAGGCACCCAAAATCGCCCTTCTTACCAACTGCTGCTTATTATGAAATTGTATAAACTGTTACTCAATGCCATCCTTTACTGTTTGTAAAATGATCAAAAATAAGGCAGAAGAAACCACCTAGCCAATCCATAGCATTAAACCATCAAGAACTGGGTTGGGTGGTGCATATCCAAGCCATTGCACCTTGTAAAGTGTGATATGCAAAATCAGCCCATTCTGGTTTATTCATTCATAATTCCAGTCTCTGCATCTATTTGATTTTTTTTTAGAAGAGGAAGGCTAACAAAAATGGTATAAGTAGTCCTCAATTTACGACCATTTGTTTGGTGACAGTTGCAAGCACAAGGGAACTGAAAAAAGCTATTCATTATCATTTTCATAATTACGACTATTGCAGCATCCCCAGGGTCATATGATCAAAATATGGATGGTTGGCAACTGGCAGGAAATGTTCCCTCTAATTTTTTTTTCAGTGTGTGTGGAAAAGTATAGTGTTTGAGTGGCACATTTTCATGCCCGAGTACCTGAATATTTTTAGCTATAATTGCCATCAGAGCAGATGTTGGGGAGGTGGGCAAGAGGGAAAAGGGTCCCCTCCCTCTCCCTCAGACCCCCAGGAAGGAAGGAAGGAAGGGAAGGGAGGGGGAGAGAAAGGAAATGGGAAAGAAAAAAAAGGAAAGGATGAAGAAGGGAGGGAAAGTGAAGGGAAGAGAAAAGAAAAAAGAAGGGAAAAAGAAATAGAAAGGAAAAGAAAGGAAAGGAAAAGAGAAAGGAAATGGAAAAGAAGGAAAGGATGAAGAAGGGAGGGAAAGGGAAGGGAAAAGAAAAAAGAAGGGAAAAAGAAATAGAAAGGAAAGGAAAAGAGAAAGGAAAGGAAAAGAGAAAGGAAATGGAAAAGAAGGAAAGGATGAAGAAGGGAGGGAAAGGGAAGGGAAAAGAAAAAAGAAGGGAAAAGGAAATAAGGAAAGGAAAAGAGAAAGTAAAGGAAAAGGAAAGGAAGATAGAAGGACAGAAAGGGAAAGGAAAGAGTGGAATGGATTGGTACTGCTCAAAAATCAAGTCTCAAGATCCCGTGGACTCCTTTGGCTCAGGCAGTCCAACTCCACACTGCTTCCCTCTCTCCGCAAAGTGAAGGGATCGCAGAAAGGCTGCTGAGCCCAGAACGGGCCTTCAGACGACACAATGCCTGAGCAAAACGGGATGTGCAGAGAAATGCAGGCTACAACCAGCCTGTTTTCTCTGGAACCGACAAAGCCCCAGATGAACCAATGGGAATTCTCTCTTCTGCAGCATCATTGGTCTCCAGGCAGAGTCATCCTTGACTTTACCCACTGGAGGAGAGAGTTCGGTGCAGAGAGAGGAGGGAGGGAGGGGGAATATTTTAAGTCATATTTTAAGACATTAAAAAACACTGTGTGACAGTTGGAAACTGCTGCACAGCGTTTTCTTGTTATGTGTGCGGCCGTTGGATTTAATCTAAACTAGTGAGCCAGAAGGTCATTCTTTCCCCAGGCTAAATTTTGCAAAGGAGCCCAGATATTCCTCATAGGCCCCTTCTAGCTAATCATGCTGAAATGTCGAGGATTCCCAAGGTGGCCACATGGGTGGAGAGGAGAAGAAAACATGTGGTGACCGCACCTATTGTAACATTTCACAGTTGAGACATCTTACTTGATCACCAGCCAAAGGTGACTCTCATTTATTGGATTACGCCTTTTTGGCAACCCACTTAATATTTATTAGCCTTTGTTGTCAAGCCAACACCAGCTGTCAGTATATGACTTTTCCATTCAGTCGAGTGGACTGAGACATATCAAACATCCTCAAGATCTCACTAGCGGTAAACAAAGTGGGGAAATTATACAGCTAGGGGAAGAGTGTGTCTCGGTCACAATGACCTTCCCATCCTAGCCTTGGTGTCCTGAGAGTTCTTTCACCAAAGTTCTATAAAAATGGATTCTCTGACCAGATCCTTCAGAGTCTCCCAAATTGTAAGAGGAGATAGAACATAGAATCATGTTGGTTTGGAAGGGACCTTGGAGGTCCTCTAGTCCAACTCCCTACTCAAGGAGGAGATCCTATACCACTCCCAAAAAATAACTGTCCCGTCTCTTTTTAAAAATCTCTAACGATGGGGCGGTCACAACTTCTGGATTGCCATTGCATCCTGTACAATGAAATTAAATGTGATCTTTAGTGTACAATGACAGTTCAGGTTGTGGTTGTTAAGGAATCATGTGCAGTCATTAAGCATAGCATCAGGTGGTGGCTGGTTTCCTCATTGACCTGACTTATTGGAAGCTGGCAGTGGAAATCATAAGTAGTGATGATATGACTGGGAAGCTGTGACCATTGTAACTGTGTGCCGGTTGCCAAGTACCCCAATCATGATCCTGTGACTGTGGGGATACTGTGACAGCCAGAACTTCAAGGACCGGCCATAAGTCTTCTTGTTGAGCACTGTTATAACTTCAAATGGTTGCTGAACAAGCAGCCACTAAGTGAGGACTACCTCTATAGTCAAAAACCCTTCCCTATCTTTCATGATTGACAAAGGATAATGATACCCCTGACAACAACAATCGGACCAACCCAGTGGTGGGTTCCAGATTCCATTGCAACCGTACCGGTTGCAACGGGGCCCGGCATCCTCCACATGGCGGAGCATCTCACAGGTGCTGTATACGCCGTGCACATGGGCAGAAGCGCCAAAGAGTTTAAAGACAGGTAACGAGGGCGGATGGGTGGGCCCTCCAGAGTACCGTACCTGAAAGTACCCGGTGCTCCGGACAGACTCCGGTACGCGCGTACCAGGGTGTACCTCCTGCACCATTGGATCAACCACTTGATGGGCTCTGTAGTACCCTGGGGTCTCTGGCCTGCTGACAAAACCATGCTTTTTGAAAGAATGTTGTGGTGGGGGGGGAACCTTATTATTTCTGCAAGGATGATGTTCCACATATATCTTCAGTTCCTCTCAGCTTAAAAAAATGCATGAACAGCATCTTCTCTTTCTCTTCCTGTCCCACAGTTTTCTCTGCATCCTCCTCCTCCTTGCAGGGATAGTAATCCATGGCTCCTTCAGGGGTCCTAGCTGCCTCCTCCAGTATTATATGAGAAAGTATAAAATTGCCTGTAACAGTCTTTTCACATTTCAATCCAATTTGTAATAAGGCTGGCCGACTATAGACACCCCCCCCCTTGCCCCACAGGGTTCATCCATGGGCGCAGCCATCTTGAATGGAAGTTGGAACTAACTTAACTTAATTAAACTCTTCTGTGTGCTCTCTTTGTAGAGATGTTGAAGGATGATGTTGTGGCCAGCTTTTCCAAAGGCTAAATAAAGGCTCGCTGACTATAAATGCCCCTTGCCCCACAGGGTTCAATCAAGGGGAGGGGGAATCCAATCCACCCCATACCCTGAAAAAAGAAGTGCCCAGCTGCAGCATCCATGTGCAACTTTCTTCTCCAGGTGTTACTGTTGCTTCTTACCCTACCCTCAGGTGCTTTGGACAATATCTTGACCTTCCTCTTCTCTGTGACAGCCCTCCAAGTACTGGAAGCCTTTTATCAAATCACTTCTACATCTTTCTGTTCTCATCAAGCCAGTATAAAGCAGTATGATCACTGCACATGATTTTGAAATTATCCCTCTGTTGATTCAACCNCCGTTACTTGTCCCAGCTTCTGCCAACCTAGCAGTTCGAAAGCATGTAAAAATGCAAGTAGAAAAATAGGGATCACCTTTGGTGGGAAGGTAACAACATTCTGTGCGCCTTCAGTGTTTAGTCATGCCAGCCACATGACCATGAAGATTTCTTTGGACAGTGCTGACTCTTCGGCTTTGAAACGGAGATGAACACTGCCCCCTATAGTCAGGAACAACTAGCATGTATGTACGAGGGGAATCTTTACCTTTACCTAGTTACAATCTGGAGGTTGTATTTAAATATTGGCTAGGATCAATCATCGGTTAAGTCATTCTGTGGAGTTCTTGTGCTTTACTGAGGCTCCTTAAGAAGCAAATACAGCTGACATGTGAATTCAGTCAGCAAGCCACAGTTTAACAAACTAGACTTAATTAATCAACAAACCATAGCCCATAACAAACTGTGGCTCAGAGTCTTAAGGGGCTGTGCAGGGGAGCAGCACCTGTGTTCAGCACTTGGGATAATTTCAGGTTGCATCCAGGGCTCTCTTATAAGAGGTATAAAGTGAAAAGACAAAAAAGCTGCAGTTGCCTTGCTGTTTTTTTGAACTACCCATCCATAGCTATTCCTATGGAAATGAAACATGTAGCTTTCTTCACAGACAGAAGCCAAAAAACAGAGAAATTCATTGTTATGGAAGAAAGCTAAAAATAATTGTAGATGATATACAAGGTTAAAAAAAAAACCCTTCATGGCATCCAATCTTCAACAATATAAACAAATTTGTAGGTGAAGCCCCCGAAGTGCTTTTTCAAGAGGCAACTGGACTTTCTGGTTTTTCTTTGAAGACGTTTCGCTTCTTATCCAAGCAGCTTCTTCAGCTCTTCAACTGAAAAAGCTTATTGAATAAGAAGCAAAACATCTTAAAAAGAAAAAAAACCAAGAAAGACCAGTTGCCTCTTGAAAAAGCACCTTTGGGACAGCCATGACCTGGATGACTGAGAATCTCTATAGACTTCTAGGTGAAGGGCCTAAAGAACACTACTGGTTATACAGCAACAGATTTTACTCAAGGCCACTAATTCCCATCATCCACTGCTTCCAGCATATGCCATTCAAATATGTCCCCTCAAGCTCTGTCTCTTGATCCACTATATCCCTCTTTCTTAGTTTTTAAACTTCTCACAGACATCATAAAAGATAACGCTAGCTCTCATGAGAATATAATATATTTATTTGCTTGTTTAACTTAATTGTTGGCCACCAAGGAGGTTTTCTAGTCATACATTTCTATTGCACAAGTCATGTAAGATAATTGAGGCTAGAAAATAATATAACAGCTTATTAGTCTCCTTTCATACTTAAGAGTATCTGCTTACTCAGATAAATAGTGACTAGCTAGATTACATCAAAAACATGAATTTCCATCCTTATTGCACTTAGGGGTCACTGAGGTAGGAAGAAAAACACGGAACTAGTCTGTAGTGACAAGGAATGGATCAACAATCCGTCTTCCAAAGCTAAGGAATGGTAGAAGATGAGCTGACCTTGCAACCTTCCAGTTAAACTTTGGAGCATGCTAAATCAAAGCCTTGCGAGTAGGTTGGAATGTATGACATGATGGAAACATTGAAGACCATCATCAAAAGTCATTCTGTTTGGGACTTTGGCTGGGGGAAAAAAAGGCTTCATCGAGTTTGAGAAGGAGACATTGGTGCACTCAGCCAAAATCTAAAATGCATTTCTTTGGTATTTGACATTTCCACCTGGGGAAACAGAGGGCCCACCCATTCTTGCAAGGCTGTAGAGCTGCTTCCAAAGGTCACCTAAGGGCAAAGGTAGCTACTGTACAAATTTCTAACATCACCGTCTAAAACCAGTCAATATAAGGCCATAGCTTGATATTGCAATTGTTCTGAGTTTAGCACATCCAAAATCCAGATTTCTAGTCCCCAACCAGGTTCCCTGCAGAGATCACGCCATTCACATCGACCCGTCTTGCTTCTCCACCTGCTTCTCTGCCGTAACCTCTTGGAGCCAACCAATTGTGCGATTCCGGCTCTCTTCCCAGGTGAAACAAGGTTGGTATCCAAAGTGTTTCAGAGCCTTGTCGGTCTGTATGGTAAAGGTAGTGCTGGCAATGATCAGGGTGTAGGGGTTGAGGATGGGGGCATAGACGCAGAAGGGCTTCAGGAGCCACTGCAGGAGAGCATTGAGCAGAGCTATCAGATGGAGGAGAAAGAACGGCAGCAGGGGACGGGACCCCAAGAGGCGGAAGCCACATGGCCTCAAGAACTCCATGTTAAAGTCCTCGTAGCTCTTGTATGGAGAGTCATCGTAGCAAAAATAAACTTGGCCCCCGATGATTGAGGGGTCCTCTTGGATCTTCTGAGCCACCAGGAGATGCATCCAAGCCACGTTGCCTACAGAAGGGGCAAGTTAGGAGACCAAAAAGATAATCAAGTGAGAGACGTTTCACTAGCCAATGTCACTTTTGTGAAAACGCAGAGATAACATAGAGACAAATAATAACGCAGCACCGTTTACTCAAGAAGACACAGCAGGGATAAGATCTCAAATGAATGCATTTCTAAAAATAGTGCTTCCTGCACTCTGCNCAGTATAAAGCAGTATGATCACTGCACATGATTTTGAAATTATCCCTCTGTTGATTCAACCTAGGACTGCATTAACTTTTTTGGCAGCTGCAGCATGCTGCTGGCTCACACTGAAGGGGTAGTCTGCTAGGACATCTAGATCCCTCTCACAATTGCTGCTGATGAGCCAGGTGCCACCTATTCTATAACTGTGTGTCTTTTTTTCTTGCCCAAGTATTCTACCTTACATTTTTCACCACTGAATTGCATTTTGTTGGATGAGTTCCTTGTCATTGTGTCAGATGAGGCAAAGAGCAGCCCTTAGTACACCATTCTCCTTTTGTATCATGCGAATAACAGAATTGGAAGGGACCTTGGAGGTCTTTAGTCCAACCCCTTGTTCAAACAGGAGACCTTATACTATTCCAGGCAAGTGGCTAACCAGTCTCTTCTTAAAAGCACCCAGTAGTACCCACAACTTCTGAAGGCAAGCCATTCCACTCATCAATTATTCTCACTGTTGGGAAATTTCTCCTTAGTTCTAGGTTGGTTCTCTCCTTGATAAATTTCCATCCATTGCTTCTTGTCCTGTGTTCAGGTGCTTTGGAAAACAGGCTGTTCCTCTCTTCTCTGTGGCAGCCCATCAGATATTGGAACACCACTATCATATCATCTCTACTCCTTCTTTTCTCTAGACTAGACTAACCCAATCTTGCAACCATTCCTCATGTTTGACCTCCAGTCCCCTAATCCTCTTCATTTTCAGAAAAGTACAACGAAGAGCAGCCAGAAGAGAATGTCAAGTACTATTAGAACTCAGCTGGGACTGGTCAATGGCGTGCATCATTCAACTGGCCATTCTTGGACATCTGTCTGATTCAGGACTAGATGAATTATTATGTAACCAGAAAATGATAAAATGGCCTTCCAGCTTGTGAAATAGCCCCCAGATTATTGGAAAAGGGAAAACTCCCAGAAATGTCTTTTCCAGCAACGCAACAAAGAAAATCAGTATATTGTAATAACTCAAATAATACTGCCTGCCCTTTGGGGATTAAAAAAAGCCAGCTGTCAAAGTCAGCAACCTCGCTTTGCCAGCTGGTAGAACTGGATTTCTCTGCAGTGCCCTGAAGTGAGGGAAATGGACAAAGTCTTGGAAAACAGGATGTTTGTGCTACAGTTGAAAGAAGAAAAAAATTAAAATGGAAAGTACAAACGACAGGATTTATGGTAAAAGAGAAAAGAATTGTCACGGATTTCCTTTCTTGCATCTGAAAAACATTTGCCATATTATCTAAAAAAAAATTCTTGCCTGCTGAAAAAACGTAAACAAATTGGATTATCAATTTATGGAATTACAAGGTTGTGCTATTCACAGGCATCAAGCTATACATTTAGACAAATGTAGGAAGCTTTCCCTCTTCTCCAGGGAATTTTAGCAGATAACAGTCTAGGAGAAGATGTACCTAAGATTTGATAAGATAAATCACTGCACCATCCCATTGTTTCTAATTCCCAGAACATTTTAGCGCAGCATGTCTCAATTAAAGCCAAGGCATGCTTCTAAGAATTCCACTTTGTTCTGTGTTGGTTATTATTTATTACTAGCTGATAACCTGGTGTTGCCAGAATATTTATTTATCCCAATTCTGTATTAGACAGTTTGCATATCAGCACCACAATCACAGCAAAGGGAATCTTTCCAGCCCCATTGATTCAGGGCAGAAGCAATTCTTCCAGTTTCACATTTAATTCAGTTTTATCGAGACAGAGCGAGGCAGGTTTAAATTGGCTGGTTTGGTAGAGGGATCACTAATAGCCAGGCCACAAGAAGGTAACTTGGACCATTCTTTTCTCCAGGCATTCTCGGGGGTCATTGCCCACCTTGAACGGTGTGTCCAGTTCTGGGCACATGATATTAAGGAAGGAATCAGGCATTCTGGAACAGCTTCAGAGAATGCTAAAGGAAAATAGCAGTCTAGAAAATGTTATACAGATTGAAGAATCTGGAAAATGCTGAACCTTGAAAAAATAAAATAAACGAAGAGCAGTAGACATTCCAAGTATTTGAAAGATGTTTCACCGAAGAGAAAAACCTCTTCTCTGTTTTTTCAGAGTTCAAGAGTCAGAACAATGAATATAAGATACGAGGAAGCACCTTTGAACTGAATGCTTGGAAATATTTTTTTAAAAAAATAAGATATGTTTAATGGTAAAATGTGTTCAAGCATAGAGGACACATTTCCTCTCTGGGAGATGTTTTAATTCAGATTCCTGCATGAAGAACGTGGTTGACTTTGATGGCCTCCCAACATCTATATTTCTGAAAACTTACCTTTAATTTGTGCTTTGAGGCGTTGTGCAAACATTCACACTAACCCATCATACTTGAACCTAGAAGATGTGGTTACATCCTGATTTATGGAAACGCGGCACAAATAATGGGTTAGGGCAGCTGGTAAACAAGACACTAGCATTTATTTAAATCCCAGCGGTCAGCAAATTCTGAGATTTTGGCTTGGAAGCCCTTTGATCTTTGTAAATCCAGAAAGAGTTCTGGCTTCTTCTTTCTCCTAAATCTTACAAAATTATTATTCCAAGAACTGCTCAGACACACAGATCTCTCTTTTGGCAGCTACTGCAGGAACTGCCCCCAAGTTCTGTACTCTTTTTGGTCAGATATATTTTTATTTTGAAATACTCCCCCTTTTGCTCACAGGGCAAAGAGAGACCAAGGCCACAGCCACCCTCGAGTTCTAAAGCTTGACCGAATGTCCTGATATTTGTTTGCTTCTTTCACAACTAGCAGTGATGTAGGGATTTATTGGTGCCTTTGATTTTTATCTTCTTTTTATTTACAGGTTCAAGGCAGTGTAGGTAAGATAGCCAGGGCAGGACAAAAAGAGGTTGACCTAGAGTAACAGAATAACAGAACGATAGAGTTGGAAGGGGCTGTAGAGGTCATCTAGGACAACCTTTGTTTTGTAGATTATCAAGCAGGAAACCCAATGTCATTTCAGAGCCAGGGGTGGGCTTCCAAAATTTTAGCAAGGAGTTCTCGGTCTGGTTGCTGGGTGGGTGTGGCCATGGTGGGTGTGGCCTAGTTAGCCTCTTGCACCACAGGGAGGAGGCGCTTTTGGTTTCCCTGGGCTTCGGGGGCTTTTCTTGATCTTCCAGGAGGGCAAAAATGGCCTCTCCAGGCTTCGGAGGCCCTTCTCGATCTTCTGGTAGGCCTGTTTTTCGCCCTCCCTGAGCCTCTGCATGCCCCCTGCACTTACCTGCATCCAAAATGGGCCGTGTGAGGAATCCTGGAAGGGGCGGGGGGCAGTCAGAGTGATTTGGGCGTTCTCTGAACTGCACAGAATCTTAGCTAGAGGTTCTCCTGAACCCCGGCGAACCCCCAAGAGCCCACCCCTGTAAACAAACAATTGGTTGTTCAGTTCCTTCTTAAAAGCCTCCAGTGTTGGAGCAACCACGACATCTGGAGGCAAACCTGTTCTCCCAGTAAGGAAATTTCCTTACTGTCCCCCCATATTTCTCCTTGGTTCTTGGTTGGATCATCTCTGATTAGTTTTCATCCATGGCTTTTTGTTCTGCCTTCAAGAGCAGGACAAGAATCAATGGGTGGAAACTAATCAAGGGGAGAAACAAACTGGAACTAAGGAGGAATTTCCTGGCAGAACAATTAAACAGTGGAACAACTTGCCTCCAGAAGTTGTGAATGCTCCAGCGCTGAAGGTTTTTAAGAACAGATTGGACAACATTTGTCTGAAATGATATAGAGTTTCCTGCCTAAGCAGGAGGTTGGACTAGAAGACCTCCAAGGTTCCTTCAAACTCTGTTATTCTAGTCTAGTGCTAAAGTCCACACATTTTATAGTCCCTGAGATTGAGAAAAACTGCTCCAAAGGTTGATCTCTTGATGTTACAGATATACATACAGTGCGTGTAAAGTGTTTCCAACACTTAGGGATGTATTATGGTAGGCAGAGAAAGCCTCCATTATGTAGATGGGTGCTTGCATGTTTGCAGCTACACTGATTATATTACCTTGTGGTTTGTATGTACACCGAGACCTTACACACCGGAGACAAATTACTTTTGTGTCCAATCACACTAGGCCAATAAACAATTTCTATTCTGTTCTTTTCTATTCTGTTTGATGGCTGATCACACAACTCCATAAGCTCAGAACTTAAAAAAAAAACCTGAAACCCCAGATTTTTTTTAAAAAAATCCCTCTCTTTTGCCAGATTCTCTTCACTTTGTTCACAGATTCTTTGCAGATTATCAGCCTAGTTTAAACTCCCAAGCTTTCTCTCCGATCAATCATCCTGGAACACAGTTTACCTTTGGATTGTTTCTAGGAACTGAAGTTCGACAAGCTTGTCTGCGTCAGCTGGCAAGGAGCTGGGGAATATATGCCTCAATCTCTTTTGCTTGTTGTTGCACAGGAATGCAGCTCCAAGGAGATGGCCTTTTTAAAAATCCCCATTACAGTTGGGTTGGTAGTTTGTATCTTGTCAATATGGGAGTGGCTGTGAGGCGGAAAGAAAGCCTCATGCCTGGAACAACCAAACCTCTGGCCCTGAGCAGCAATAAAACTCCCTAGTTTTATTCAAAGATCATTTAATAAATCAAGGAAACCTTTGCTGGCTTGTACAGGTAGTCCTTGACATATTTAGTAACTGTTCAAAGTTACATCATCACTGGAAAAAAAGTTATTTATGACAGTTTTTCCACACTTCGCAGCATCCTTGTGGTTCTATGATCAGAATTCAGACACTTGGCAATTGACTCATATTTATGACCTTTTGTTTGCAGTGT